GAAACCAATCATCTACCACTGAGCCATCACGCCTACACCGTACTTGTTTAAAGACTCCACTATAACACCCCCCCCCCCCAAAAAAAAAAAAAAAAAAAAAAAAAAAAAATACCCCCCAAATGTTGACATGAATTTTGTTCATGCATGTCGTCGATTCGACATCATGGCTTGAGACGGCATGTCTGTGGGATTAGATAGGATTAGATGAGATTAGGTAAACCAGTCTGTGATCCAAAGCTAACCAGGCTCGACACCCGAGAGACCCGGATCGGCTTACAAACCTGGGAATTCGAGACTCTTCGTCAACTTACCTGTGGGACAACTAAATATTTCCAATATTTTTCCACCAAAATTTGCCCTTTTCTCCTCTTTGTTGCGAATAAAATGCATTATAAATCTTTTCTCCTTCTCTTTTGTTTCATGCTTCGGCGTGACACTCAAAAACTTCATATTTTTCGTGAAATATTCAGGTCACTAATCCGCGATACTTTATCTTTCTTTTTTGTGGGACAGAGAGCCGAGACGTGACCAATGTCACGAATACAAGCAAAGATACATTCTTTTATAGCTCATGTCACCTGCTCTGAATGATACCACTAACTTCAACTTCTTATTTTAAATAAAATATATTGGAAAAAGCTTGGTAAGTGCTTTTATTTTGTTGGCAAACCGAAACTAGGCAGATTCTCTGTTACCAGCTCGAAAGAAGTAGTGTAGTGGTGGTTATTTTACCTGACTGCTAAGAAAGCATAAATGCTTGTTAGTAAGCAACTGACAGCTTTAGGTCCTCTCCGAGAGACCTGGTAATGAGGTGCCAAATGGCACTAGCGCATCGCCTTGGTTTCGAACCCGGGTCGCCGGATTACGAGACCACTGCTCTACCAACTGAGCTATCGCGCCTCCTAATGAAACTATTAGCAAACAGAAAAGAGGCAAAATGTATTAAATGGCAGTTCTCCGTTTGGAAAAGTTGTGTTGATTACACTGCAAATCTTTAAAAGATGCACCCCAAATTAGGAAAAGGATCGAAATAATCTGTTTAATGAATGAAGGATGTATAATAGGCTGATTTTAGCCTTAGTGGTGTGATCATAATAGAGAATAAGAGCTGATTATAATGAGCATAAAATAATGAGTTTCAATTATATCGAGCGGTCTTCATATTGCATGATACTTGAAAATAGATAACTGTAAATTAAAGGGAGGGAGGGAGGGCGATGCCCCCGAAAGATTGTATATAGTAAACCATCTTCAAAAGAGATCTTATTATTTCATATGACGGAATATTACTAAATTTTGTATAAACACATATATACAATTATACACAAAGAAATGTAATATGCAGTTGTTTGTCCAACCAAATAATTAGTATGATTTCTAAACAAAATAGGCAGTTGCGCATAAACCTGCTAGAACTTTGGGGGTAAACCGTCAGTTCTTTTAATGTTAACCGACGGTTCTCGAGACCAACAGGCTACTATGAAAACGGCCCACGAGACCGACTCTGTTGGACTTGCTGACAAGTTACGTGAAGGTTCTCGAGATCGACGACCCACGAGACCAAATGCTAGCCGAAACGACCGTCCGGCCACTCTCGCGGACCTTCTGAGTTCCTTTTTAGGATTGTCGGTCTCACAGGCCGTCGGTTTCGTAAGTTATCAGTCTCGCAAAAAGCGTCTGTTCTTTTAACAAATAGCTTACACTTTTAGCTTTAAAACACCTCTTGAATATTACGCTCAATAATGTAAACTGTGTATCTTTTCGTCCTTGCGACACCCCCTAGACCAAAGTTCCAGACAACTACCCTTAACACCCCCCGCAAGTACATCTCGGACAATTTCATCCCGATGAAAACAACAACCCTTTTATAAACCAAAGGTATATCTCCTCCCAAGTTACCCCTTGACCTTTAGGAAGAACAGAGCCGTTTTAATAATGGCTCTAAATAGAGCTTTCTAGCCGTTTTTAATTCTTGGTTTGTATTTTACTGTAAAGTGTATTCTTGTATGTATTTGAATTTTGAAAATAAAACAAAACAAAACAAAACCAAATCCCATCAGATTAGTCTGTAGAGGTTCATTGTCCCACGGGCTATTTCGGGGTATTCATTGTCCGAATGTATTTGACAGTAAGCTTTATACGGTAGGGGCAGTTGTCGAAGGGTAGGAGTATAGGATGGTAGTCGAGGGGGCAGTTGTCCAATATAATGGTCGGGCAGTGTTAGAAATTGAAAGCGAGGCAAAGGCAACCGGAGCAGGTCTCGTACAATCTCCCTATATGATCATCTTCATATCAAACACAATCTCGTAATCTCATCTTATAGATTTATGTCTAGATGTCGAAATCACACTCCCGTGAATTTGCAACAGATGTTACCGTTCATGGAGAAAATGATATTCTTCATTTCTCTCTTCTTCCAAAGTCCCTCGATAAATGAATCTGGCTTTATCTGGACGAGGAGTGGGAAGATATGATATATTCCTCAAGGTCAGAAGAAAATATGATCTTAAATTATCATAAAAGGGCGGATCAAGAATTCTGTCAATGGGGGGGGGGGGGTGGAAGCCGACAAATCTCTCGTAAGCAAACAAAAAGGTTTTCACGGTTTAAAGGTTCCTTTTGGGTCTTAAAGTTTTAAAAGGAACCACAAGAACGCAACACAATGGGGGGGGGGGGGGGGAGGTATTAAAGATACGGCACTTGTGTTTTAAAAAAGGTGGGTAAAGGTCGGTTGTGCCCCTTCCCCCGTCCTTATCCGCCGATACATCAAGTGCCAAGTAGGAGATCAACTTCTCGTCTCCGTCTCAGTTTCTATCGCTTGCGGCGTTGGGTACATAATAGGCTTTCATAATGAAACAAGATATCAATTGAAACATTAATATGAAACGTTATAGGAACGAAACACTATTTGGCACGGTAGCTTTCATCAAATATTCCGAAACACATTTGCACAGCAATGTCAATATGTAGTATCCATTAACTGTACATTCTGAACTTCTTTTGAACTTTAACATACGATCAGTGGCACATTCTTCATAAATAGACTCTGTGTACTCTATCAAATTCATTCTAAACATTAAAAATATGCTCTATGGTAATAGATGAACAATGCCATAGGAGTACAAGCCGTGGAGCTGACGGGTTGCAGCCCCCCCCCCCTCCCCGGCTCCGTCCCCCATGCATTTTGACAATTCCAATATCCAGGCATTTATTATCTCGTATTCGGGAATCGAGGTGCCCGAATAACACGGCAGCGAGATGCCCATATAAGTCTTATTATGGTGGTTTTAAACAAAATGACAAATAGCATTTCAGTCAACCATAATGAAGTGCCATTTTCACTGGCTCCCAAAATTAAAAAACAAGAAAGTTAACATACGGGCACATCCGAAGGCCTACTTATAAGACTGTAGAAAGTTCCAGGAATTTCAAGGGCCCCTTAAAATACGAGCATGGATTTTGAGCAAACGGCAACTTTGAAAGCGTTCAATTTGACCACGACATGTTTATGATTTACAAATGTTCAAATAATATCAATGTTTGCTTGAAAAGTAAACATGCACTTTGCTAATGCTCCTTAACCTAAATAATTATCAGTAATCGAAGTCCAAACATGATGTGGGACTATTATGATATGTGTTTATGCATCATAGTTTGCATTTAAGATTTATAAAACAAAAAACGTTTCATAAGAAAAGTGTGCCCCTAAATAACTGGAGTTTACATTCCTGTTTAATCATGTTAAAACAAACTGTGCTTGACATACGGGCTAATGTATTTATGTTAGTGATTTTGTTTTCATTTATTCTTATCATGTACTAAATGTTGATTGAAGTAGGGAGCATGGATGACTGATGCTAACAAACTTTTACCTTCTTTTCCTTCTTATTATTCATTTTATACTTATCCTCCTCCTTCTTCTTCATCCTCTTCTTCTCCTCCTTTTCCCTTTTTATCTTTTTCTTATACCTTCTTCATTATTCTTTTGTTTAGTCAACCTTGCAAATGTAACGGATATTTAGTACTGTATATTAAACATACGGTGCAACACGGGAAATATCAGGAAGACGAAATGCCAGAGAATTAGGCTATACAGAGTGAATTGAGGGTTTAAAAGGGGCGTATTACCGTCTTTTCTCATTGTGCTCCCTCTATCCTCGCCTTTCTCTCTTTTTCTTCTTCTTTTCTTTCATCACATTACAGTATTTGTCCACTCCCCCATACTTATGCTGCCCAGTGTATATTGTGTGAATTCGTGCTCTTGGCCAGAAAAGTAAACGATAATTATCTTCATCAATAGCCGCATCAATATTGAAACGGTTCTTCCTGAGAGCCATGCAATCATAATCGCCCGGCGCAAAGCATAAAAGGAATATCTTTCTACCTAGTATCCATCTACCTAGCCTGGGTAGAAAGTGGCAAATACAGATTCATGCCTTCCCAAAGGACATGGATACCGCACAAGGGCCCCATGGAAGAACAACGGTTCTCTGTCATTACAGCTGAAATGAAATCTGCCGTATTTGAAACTTGAATCACCGTTATGTATTTTAATCAGGCGCGTACGCAGGATTTTTTCAAGGGGGGGGGGGGGGAGGTTTAAAATTTTGAAATCGGGCCGAAATTTCGCATCGGGGGGGGGGGGGGGGGGGTCGGGGGGGGGGGGGGGGGGGGGGGAAGGACACTTTTTTTTTTTGGTCTTAAAATTTGAAAATTGACATTTTGCTTCGTTGGGGTGGGGGTAGGGTCATCTTTTTTAGGTCAGCCATGGGAATAATTTTTTTTTTTAATTATTATTATTAAAAAAAAAAAAAAAAAAAAAAAAAACCAAAGGGGGGGGGGGGGTTTTAAGGGGTTTATACACATAAAAATGCCAAAGGGGGGGGGGGGGGGGGGGTTTAACCCCCTAAACACCCCCCCCCCCCCTGCGTACGCGCCTGATTTTAATTATGTGTTTTTATGTATTTACAGAAATAAAAACAAACAAACAATCAAACAACCTGTCTTCTGTGCTTTGAAGAGTCCACTCATGTTCTGGAACCATGGTATAAGGAGATCAACCTCCCGACCGTCCCTGTCTTGGGGATCCTTCGAGATCAGAGCAACCACCTTGTCATAGTTGTGCGCCATCACACCGACCTGACCAAAGAGAAAGGGGGTAAACAGGATCAGAAAGAGTCAAGGGCGATTGCAATGCCCTATCGTACTGCCTAACATGCCTTCTTCTTCTTCTTCTTCCTTTTCTTCTTCTTCTTCTTCCTCTTCTTCTTCTTCTTCTTCTACAAACCCCGCAACGGTTTTGCCTCGTCACATCTGAACGAGCCTTTATTATTACAAAAATCGTAAAGGACCAAAAATTACAGAAAATCAGAACATGCGGTGAGCAAACATTTCTGTCAAACTTTTAAAGCGGACGACAAACTTGTTTTCTGCTCTATTTATTCTACCTCATGCACATCGAGAACAAACACTCATTTCATATAAAGATCAACACATTATGAATATAAATTAAACAACCAGCAGTGTGTGTTTGCCCAACTTCTGGCTTTTGACTGAAGTCCAATCAAGGCAACCTATTTACATTCTATGCTTCAAGATCTAGATGTTCATGGGCGTCTTTAGAACATTTTAAAGGGGTATACAAATTATTTTTATGATAAAAAAGTTAATGCTTTTGATATCGTTTATTGGGTTAATTTACAGTGCCTTCTTGTAAAACAATGCTACAATCTACAATCATTGATGAGGCCAGAGAGGTTAAACAAGACTTAATGAATGAATAAATATATGAATAAATGCAGAACTATAGTGAAAATGGTCACTTGTTAAAAAGACATCGATAGAAGTAAAATAATAATATTTCCCTTATACTTTTGAATTTGCCGTCAAGGTTAAAATGGGGCCTAAATTGGTAACAAAGTTTGCCCACAACATTTTGCCGATTTGAGGATGATCAATTTGAGCTCTTTCAAAAACACCGGTCTGAGATTTATCCGAAAAGGGGACAAATAACTTGAATCTTGAACCGTGAAACTTGATTAATCGGGCAAAAAATGGTTAATGTAAGATTGCCAACAAGTTTAACGACCCGTTAATCTTAATTATTGTATTTTTCACACCATGCGTATCGATTTCATAATGCATTTTATTGAGGCGTTTGTATTGCGTGATTTGTTGCGGTAGTGTTGCGTGGACATATTATCGGACAAACACTTAAGAGAAGAAAAAACGCCGTCAATGTTGTGATATGTCAATGTGTGCCATTTTGTTGCATTGCAATATACATTTCCATAAAGTGACATTTTTGTCCAGATGGTACAGCGAAACAAGTTGGTCTAGTCTAAACCTTTTTATTGTAAATTTACGTACACCATATCCATCATACATTACCTGATAAAGTCTTTTTGATATTATTGATAAATTACTTTTAGCACGTTTTTTTTTCCTTCCCGTCAAATAAATGAACTAGTGACGACGAAAGAAGACAAACAGATAGAGGTGAACAGGCTTCTATATATGAACAGTGGAACAAAGAGTGAGCCATAGTAACAACGCATGTACGGGTCATTCGTGATAGCAAAATAGACTTTGAAATCACATAGAAAATTATAGATACATAAAATAGGGAAAAAACAATTCACAGTCTTCAACTTTGACTCGAATATTTGCATGAACGGGAACTTTTTCACTTGTATCCCAGAGGCATTTTGTGTTTGGCACGCGCGGCTATTATCAGAAAGAAAATACAATTATTTAGACACCGGAGCCAACATGTCGTGCGGATGTCGTGTAGCATGTGTAGGTCTATATTATGCTGGACAATGGATGTTCTTTGGTTTTCTAAATACACATTGGTCACAATTCTGCTTGAATGACTGAAAGTATTGTAATATGGAAGACAGTCAGATTAGTAGTTTACAATTAGGATATGTTTGTTGATAGGTTGTCAGGGAGAGGAAAGAATCCATCAAACAATAATGGTCAAGCAAGAGTTACTGTTTGATGATCAATCAATCAGCTACTCTGTCAACAAAATGTCAAAATCATTTCATTGACTGATAATCTTCAATGGTGATTATGAATAGGAAGCACTCGATGAGGCTATCCGAAGGTTCGTAAATTTTCCATAAAAGGGGGTTCATAATTAATTCCGAAAATCAAATGAAATTCTTTAATCGGAAGGTGCCTAATTCCGTCATTTTCGGAATTATTAATTTTTTTCTTCATTTTCGGCATTACGAACTTTTTGAACTATGAACCTTCGGGAAAACGGACAAGTAACCTCATGAATAAACGACAGGGCGAAAGGTATAACATTAAGCAAAAAAATCCAGGAGAACAGAACCAGATCTCCCGATTTTTAAGATTTTGTTGCTTGCATCTCGTAACATCATTATCACAGAAAGATTTAGTATGGTCAATCAAAATAACGAAGCAACGAATGTTGAAGATCAATCAGTCAAATTAAATAAAATGTAAACAGTCAAAAGTCAATTTCATTGATTTATAATTACCATAGATCTTACATGGTAATCATGCCGTCATATCCAGCATAGGATAGAGCTGGCGTAACCCATCCCCCCCCCCCCTTCTCCCAAAAAAGAAAAGAAGATTTTGGACTGCCCAGTTACATTCTGCCTTTCCATGTAGTGGGGTTTTCGCCACCGTTTATGGTTTAAATATTTCTGCTTACATCAATGCGACAATGAGATACATTACTGTACCTTGTTCGAAGGTTGCGATTATGTTACAAGACAGTGTCTACTCTTTATTTACTATTTATTTTTACGCACTTACTTTGCATACAATTTTGGTACGGAATTGTACAATCGGCTTGTTAATTATGATTTGTAAGATATGAGTCCACCTACATTGTTTTATTACGTCAGGTTAGCATCTGGAAGCTTTCCAGACATCAGGGGCATATAAAGAATCAGAGAAGATTATTTTAATGCATTCGTAATTTGTTCGACCAAATTGATCAAACATTGAAAACTGAATTCTTGTATATCACTACTGGCGAGCTGGACATACGAATACGACTATTAAATTGTTATACTTCGCAGGAATTTAGAATCATCGATTCATTAAAGATTCCATAATGTATATGGTAGGCCTACAACTTGCTTTTTTACCCCCACCACATCTTAAGACTTCCAACCTCAGACATACCAAGGAGTTAGTAACTCCTTGGACATACCAACCTTCCTAACCCCAAATCCTTTCCATCATCGTGATAATACTTTCATGATTTACATCACACCTTTAAATCTGTCGATAATTTGATATCTTTAAAACGTATAGCGGAGGAAGGCCGACCGACACCTGATAATGTAGGAATCATAGCGTATTGAAAAAGAGAGTTGTGACAAGTGCGTCCGTACCGCTCATGGGTCATTTCAAGGAGCTCCAAAAAGTTTGCTCTCACATACAAACTCTTTGAGAGGGAACTATTTCGGCTCTCCATGTCTTTTGACCTCTGAACGAGCCTGACTTCCGTTGACATAACTATTTGTACTCCAGTAGCTATGATAGGTATCATGTGGTGAAACCAAATTCGGATTTATCGACATCTGTCGCCTGTCATCGCTCTGGGTCTCGACACCAAGTTTGATTTGCAGTTAGATCCATCAGAGTTATTCTAGTCCCTCCGTTGTAAGCAAATCGAACTGTTGAAAGAATCCTGTCTCAGAAGATAGACAAAATTAGGGCCTTAACTCCGAGTTGTTCCACTCGCTGACGGACGGAAAAGTTCAACTTTAAACAAGCACTGAGATCGGAACGAACATTATTTTAAAGGAACATGATTTCTTAATTTTAAATCATTCACTTGTATCTTGTATGTTGGTCAGGATGGCGGTTTAAAACGGGAGGATTAAAAAAAAAACGAAATAGCGAAAGGTCCAGTATTATAACAAGGCACTGCTGAGGTCGGAGTGCGTATTTAGAGAAATAAGATCTCCCGATTTTCAATTATTCACTTGCATCTCGCACATAGAGCTATGATACGGGGGGGGGGGGGGTGGGGGGGGGGCTTTGGATAACCGATAGAGCGAAAGTTCCGGGGGAGATCATAGCGCGCATTTAAAAGTACAAGAACACTGATATACCAGGTATAAATGTCAATCATTCGCTTGCCTCTCGTGATGTCATAATCACAGAGAGATTCAATATGGATATGATGGCGGTAGGAGGTTTTAGATAGCCGTTAACGCGAAAGATCACATTTAAACATGACCCTAGGGATCTCTCAATTAAATCATTCACCGGTTACCGGTCACATGGTCATGTTACAGAATGTTCAATCTTATGATATCTTAATCACTGGGGATTCTAACGGGCGGTTTTAAAGAGCTTAAAAAGCGAAAAGTTTATCTTTGAACAAGACTCAGGGGAGATCAGAGCAAGCATTTAAAGGAACATGATCTCCAAATTCAACAATTTACTTTCATCATGTTGTGATTGCGTGTTCAATTCTAGATCTTAAAAATTGGAATATTCTAAAACGAGAAAAAATTGAAGGTTTTGAATTACCGAGAGAGTGGAAGGTTCAGCATCAGAAGAGACCCTGGAGACATCGGAACGTATATTAAAGGAACAAAATCTCCCAATCGATCCATCGCTTTCATCATGTTATAGTATGTTAACATTCTATACTCTCTTTATAAAGGAGGATAAAACAGGATTGATCAGCATTAAACAAGACCCCAGAGAGAAAGACCCATTCGACACCACTTAAAGGAACACAATCTTGAAATTCAATCATCCACTTGCATTCCTCTGATCGCGTGTTTAACTGTTCATTTAATTTCATAATCACTGCAGATTCTTATGAGGATAAAGTTAAAGCGCGAGGTTTTGATTAACTAATGTTCAAAGCGAAAATGGAGTTTCACAAGTCGTCTCCGGTTGCGGAAATTCAAATCATGAATGGTTCTCTAGTTTCTCAAACGCTCCGATGGTATCACGATATGCAGTTCTCTCTCTTCCCCCCTCTTCGTCTTCTTCTTCTCCTTACTTTTCCCTTTCTTCTATTTGTTCATGCTTTGCATCACAAAAATATATGAGTTTTCGAAAAGCAAAACAAAAACAGCAAAACTATTATATGAAAGTTGCCAGCCAAAGTTTTACTTGAATTTAAAAAAAATTTAGTTTCAAATAAACATACTCAATATTAATATTGTTGTATCTTGGTTATTACCAATATTTTTGCTCTCATCGAACTGGTATTAGTGGATGAATAAATCCAAAGTCACGTCAAATCTCTGAAATTGTTAGAAAAACACAATCAAAATCCACTTAGGTAGAATTCCATCAAAGCTTATTGACTTAGTATAAAAAACGGCAACATAACTACAAATTTAGGTTGTTTCCAAATTTAACAATTACGGAACATTTGTCAATTTTATCTTTTTCGACCTTTTCGCTGTGTGACTTTAACCTTGATAGTACGCAAGCTGTTCCGGCAGAAATCTCAAAACTGAGACTGTTAAAGAAGATAATCTTTTTCTGGAAATGTTTTTCCCCGTGGGGGTCCATCAGATATAGAAACCATATTCGAACATTAATGTGAACCAGGGAGATGAAATTAGAAACAGAGGGGTTCAGAGGGATGAACAAATAAAAAGAAAGACTGAAACCAAACAACAACAAAAACACCACAAAAAACACGGAAGTACAGAAAATGTATTTACAAACTGATGTGAAGCCCTAGATATTTTGACCCAGACAACATCAACAAATATAATATATCTAATGATCGACATGAGTTCATAGCCTTATGGCTTGGATCATACCAAGTAGCAGGGTAAATAGTTATTTTAATGTTAATTGAATTTAGAATGACAATGCTTAGCTGATTTTTTTAAACACCTTTAAAATCTCAGAATAAATTAAGTTAAATGCTAACCTCAATCATTGACTACACGAACGCAATGTGTGCACAATCTCCAATTTATGATGGGTCATTGCTCTCCTATCATTTTCTTATCATGAACAAAGAAATAATGAAGTATACAGGCCATTAGACCATCCACCTGATCAGATATACTTCAGGCAGGCTCAAGTATTTGTCAAGATAGGAATGATAGGAAGTTAATAGATTAATTAGGAAACAATGGGACGGAAGCTTGATTTATATAGGTTGACAAACCTTTAAAGAAAAGAACTTGATCGATGGAACGGGTCAATATTTGACCAACTGCGGGTAGAACGGAGCGACAAAGGCATTTATGATCCGACCAGCAAAGGCACCGTGCAATATTATTGTCGGCTACAATGATCATTTAAAGGCGGATCTTTTGAAGACATATCATTACTACTGCTTCCACGGAGATGTCTTATTTTACATTGAAATGACTTGACATGGTTTATTTATTTTTAGAAATCCTCGCAGTCATCAAAACTGCATTGTGATTTGTACAATAACTGAGAATTATGAATGACTACGGGTCTTTATGTGAAAACTGGCAATGCGATTAATGGTATAATTAATCATTCTAATTCTAACATTTGAAATTAATTGTACCAAGTTTTGTCAGCCCCATTGTTATTTGAATGTTTTAGTAATGCTATGTTGATTTGGAGTAAAGGGTTTACTTGAGGTAAAACACTACCGGCTCGAAAATATTTGCATTAGCAGTCAAATGACTGAATTGCTCATAATTAAAACTTTCAGTAATCATGCACTAATAATGACCGTTTTTCAGTACAGCAGATCATTGAATTTATCAAAATCGTATGAGAAGAAGGAGCGAACAATTTGTTGTATTTCAAATGTCAATTCATATTGTTCCATCGCACCAAATATTAAGTGGGAATCTTTTTTTAGTTCTTGCGTGTGAAATTCAACTCATGGTTATGACAAATAAATGAATATACAATCATGCATTATGTATATTCATGATTGTATGAATAGGGGCGAAATGTTTGACAACCATGAAAGCCCAAGATATCTACAACAAATTTTTAGGAATATTTGCAAACTCCTATCTTCTTTGTCATGTTCGCCCTATGACTTGAACCTTCGCAGGAAACAAGCTGTTTCAATTCAAGGCAATCCTCAAAACTAAGACTCTGAGAAGATGATCAAGGGGACCCCCAGATAAATTAGACATTTGAACTAAACATCAAAAGGTTTGAACTAATATTTTAAAAGCAAGCACGTTTGAGCATCTACATCTGTGTTCTGTATTATGGTCTTTGATTTTAGAATAATACTAACAATTGCAAGGAGTCCTGCTGGTCTGTTAACATTCCAAGGGTCTTGTTTGGAATACCCAAGATTTGAAGTTTATTTTGACATTCATGTTTGTTTGGAAGGAAAGACACGAACTTTAGACGGATATACCTTTGAAATTGGGCTGCAAGTTCTTGTCGCGAATCAAAATTACATTCTTTTGAGCCCCCCCCCCCCCCAACAAAAAGAAATGAAAGAGAAAAATAGAGGTACGCACACCATCTTAGTCTCTTCTTAAACAACCATTGTATTTCCGACAACTAAAACATTTGCGGCCATCCTTCCGCCCCTTATATCTTCTCGAAATATCAGTCTGTAAATGAGAAATTCAGTGAGCATAGTACGTCACCATGGCAACGAGTGACCTTTGCAATGTACACTCTGTTTGCCATACACGACCTTGTTTTCAACCTCCGATGGCAAAACTAATAATCAATAACTAGATTCAGATTTCTCCACCCTACCTTAACACTGTCTTATGAGATTTGTTCATTGCACTGATTTTTCAAAGGCAGATCTAGGGAGAAAAACAAAATGCCCCCCTAAAAAAAATCTGGAGAAAAAAAAACATATTGTCAGATTGCACACAATACAAAGAAGGCTAATATACGGCTATCTCAGTGAAAGCATTATTTGAGAAAAAGAATGTTAGATCAAGCATTATTGCGAGATAAAATGTAAAAGTTCATTTTAATATTTATATGAAAGTGTACATTTTCAATAAAAAAAAAAACGCTCCTCTTAGTAAAGCACTAAAGTGGCATTATCAAGTCCGAAACGAAAGAACATAATAAAAGAACCGTCGTAAAACCCCATATATAGAAATAGAAGGTGGATTATCAAGAGCGTGTCATTTTGATTTATTCTCGTTTCAAAACATTCATGCTCAAAATGTTTCTTTAAAGCAGTGAAAATGAAGTTAATCATTTTCATATAATAAACAATTGTTTTAACGTACACTATTTGAATATCAACCAGTAGAAAAAGCAGAACTTAACTGATCTTCAAAGTATCATTTTCGGTCATTGTTTATGCTTCCATCATCAAACTTCCTATTTTCTCCTCCGTCACCGAATTATCCACTTCTTCAAGAAAACATTTTTATCAACTTTTTATTTCTGAGATGAAAAATTATGCATTTAATTTCACGGTAACGTTAACCGCGCAACAACTGTTCTTAAAAAAGTTGAGCAACACAGCAATAATGTATTTAGTATAATGGGGGGGGGGGGGGATGCTGCTCAATCTCGGTTAAGATATTATGGTACAACAATAAAACGAAAATGTTACTTCTGTTAATATTCCAACGAATCGAATGCTCAGTCTCTACTACACAATAATGGCGCCTCATCTCTTCTTTATATCAAAATATTCCGAAAAGAAAATAAACATGAGTAAAAAGTAGGCCCTATTTTCATTTTGTAACCAACTACTGTATATTTTTTTCGCAGAGTTTTTTTTCTTCATGTTATTTTGTTTTTACCCAACAAGGTAGTCTGTAGAGTATAGAAGACAATCAACTCTCGTTGCTCATAACAAAGGATAACACAACTTACCTCTTCTTTTTCCTCCTTTTGAGTAATATCTGAACTCCCAAAAAAGGAAGAATGTTGAGGTAACGCTGTTAATATTCCAAAGCGTCTATAGCTTTATACTACAAAGTAATGGCGCTTCAATCTCTTTATATCAAACTATTCCTACAAATTCTGGCGTGTTGTTGGCAGGCCTACGAGCAAACAACTCCAGAGGATTGATATCTTGTCGACTCGAGCAGTTGAATGTGGACTCCAAGGTACTTGAAAGAGAGGCTGGGAGCTACCTCGCACATCACCTTTTACCTCGTCAACTGATTACAAATGTTTGCAAGGTGAGGTGAGAGCATGAACACCAAATGAGGCGTGCGATACAGGGATTATGAATGGAGTTGCGAAGGTGAGTCGTTGCGGTCGGTTGGTCGGTCCAACATCTATGGCATTCTTGGGGCGGCATAGTCGTTGCTTCGAAACCATTGGCGTTGGAACACGGCCATCGAGAGGAGGAAAATTGGCTATGCAACGCTTCGAAAAACACAGTGAACTTTGTTTTTGTCACCAAAAAGCGATCTAAGTTGACGACTTGACATGATTTAATTGGTTGGAGAGATAGTTATAAAGTGGTCGAGGGGGCATTGTGGCACATCCCCTAATCAAACGGGGGACATTATAGAGAAGAGAAAGAGATCGAGAGAAAGAGAGAGAGAGAGAGAGAGAAAGAGAGAGATACAGATAGATATATTGATACAGATGTATATAGAGCAAGAATAATTCAATTAAAAAATGAAACGTCCCGCCCCCATCAGACTTTCGAATTTCATTCCCCTTGACAAGTCCAATTCCACACCCAACAATTGGACCCACGCTGTATAATATGCATAAGATGATAGCATTCCTTCAATATAATAACTTATATCAGAATATTTTTACGCTTCTTTCTTTTCAGATATAATTTGTAAAGCTCCACCCCCCTTTTTTTTCCCTTCTATGTCTCACATACCTTGCGTAGAAATCGAAAAGAATCAGTGTTTCTTTTGGGGTATCGGGCAATAACGGGACCTTCAGACAAAATAGTGCTGTCGAGTCTTGTATTACGGTAATTTGTGTGATTTTTTTTAGCCAGTTGTCTTTAATAGTAATAGTTCACTGATAATCATCAACAAAAGATGTGAAAACCCACAAAATTCTCCTTATAGTTGAATTTTGCACATTATTATATTGCACTATTATTAAACAATGAAAACAATAGATCCTTTATTTAGAAAGGACTTATTCTTCCGTTGTGGCCGACATATAGACATTATTTCCTACAATATTGACAACCCGGTCAGGGAAAAAAGTTGCCCGTGGTTATCTTCATATATTATTCTTATTATGGAGGGGGGGGGGGGGGGATATCGTAGACTTCGTTTTCGTTGAATTATCTTTCTACATGACAATGTCCACAGCAAAGTTGAGAGTTTTGTTTTTCGGCATGTTGTTCGGAATGTTAAAAGCTTTTTTGGAAACTTTTCAAACCAGCCTTTCAATTTACTTTTGCCTGTTGATTGAAGTACATTAAATCTCCTCCACCGCCAATTAGCATGATGACTTACAGCCATTGAGGAACAATAACGACATGTTGAGATTTCTCATTCGAGTCGTATCGTTAAATGGATGTGACTGTGTCAAGCGGACTAAAATCCTTCCACAAATATTTAAAGAGCGTCTTTTTATTTCCAGTCATCATCTGAAGTGTTCTTTGGAGTAATTCTATTGAAGCTTTTGTAAATATCTTAGAAAAGCAAACTGGTTAAGGAAGCTGTCCTTATATGTGTACTTGCCTACTTGGGACCACAAAGCAGAAGCACAAAGACTCTTCTGGCGATCTCTCAATATTCCAACCCCCGAAAACACGCACATCAAATAATCATGGCATATTACACGTATACTGATACACATTCAAATTTTACAATTTATTTTTACAAGTTTTTTTAAATTTCTGTTTTTACGTACAATCATATCTTTTGTTTATTTATCACCCTACCTCAGCTTAGTTTTTTATTTCATAGCCATGGTTTTCAAAATCATAATTTTTTTAAGCAGATTTATACCAACTTTCGCCGTCACATAATTTCCTATTATACGGATGTCATGTTAATGTCTCAATATAATGATTTCTAGGGCTCTCAAAGGAGCAGTTCAAACGAGAATGTATTACAAATGTTAATATTTGGTTGATTTCCTTCAAATCTGACAAACAATATTTTACCCCTTTGAGAGCAATATTGCTTCCGAGGGGAACAATTGACAAGTACAAAACGAAGAGGTTGTTTCATTCGAAGAGATCAAAAGTACATTTAAGAATTGCGTTCTAGATATTTCATGACAGGTAATGCATTCGTGTGCCTTTTTTCTCATTTTTTGTACTTTAACCACGTTATTCCTGACATGCATTTGTTGTCATGGATACCGTCGTCTGGCGTGCCATTTGTGAAAATGTGATTATTCTTTTGATTACGGCGAGGGAAAAACTTGTATGGGGTATGATTTAATTAGAGTTTATTCTGATTGTGGCTTAGGTCTATACTGAAAGCAGACGATATCAAAGTTCGTGAACATAATTATGCATGGTTTTTTTTTTGCAAAAAATCTTCAAATTTCATTATCACTTATAATCGACTTAAGGGCAGGGTATTCATCTGACAGCACTTCAGATTTATGAATGCAGCTGTCTGCTGTACATAATAGGGACTTTTAGATTTGCACGTCGACAGCTTTGACTGCAACGTGTGTCGTCATGTTAAGTCACTGCGCATGCGTCACGTCGTCTCAGTCGGCGATCGAGAATGCGTCAACCTTGATTTTCCTAAATCTAGTACGGTACTAGTATTATGCCGCGTGCGCATAAAATATACAGTTCCTCAGGTAGACAAAGGAAGATCCCTACCCTGCTATTATGTAAAAGTGTGTAGAACAGGTGTCACATGCCCATTCACCTGTTCTACACATTTTTACATAATAGCAGTGAAGGGGTGTTATTTTGTCTACCACAGCCATTGTTGAGGGTAGAATGAGGAACTGTATATTTTGTCCTCTGTCTTTGTCCGTCATGTTCATAGTGTTACTTCATGCATGCATGTATATTATCGAGTGCAATCTAAAAGATTTCTAATTGTAGTTAACATGGGCAAGTTGAGTACGTTGACACGCATGATCAGTCGGCGTACGTCGTGTTCTCATCCACTCAATCTAAAAGTCCCTAATATCCAGATGTGTCGACAGCCATGTCCCACAATGCATCATCAACTGATGACGTGCGTGTGGTGGTGCTCTATGTACGCCTTCACAGAGTAGTTCATTTCATTTCATTCATTTCATTTCTTTATTGTGTCCATAAAGGATAATTGTTTATATGCACATGAACAATCTTGCTTCAACATAAGAACATAGGAACAACATATAATTGACACATAAGAACATAGGAACAACATATAGTGGTAGCGATGTCAGTCAAAAACCCTGCCTTTCATTTGTTTAATCTGAATAATCCCATGAACATAAATTGATTGATAAATCTAGCCTGAATTCAGTGTCAAGCTCCCCCACCAAAGCACTATATCTGGTTCATATTATAGTTTCATCCCAGTAAATTATATCATTTGTAACCTATCCATTGTCCCTATGATACCATCACCAATTGTTATAAAAAATGACACATTTACAGGCAGCCAACCTGAACTTCAACTAAGGAGGAGGAGGAGGAGGAGGCCAAAACGAATACATAAATCATGGAATTTGTATTAGAAAGACGCACTTTAAAGAGAGAGATTCAACTGCTTGTAATGGAAAAAATATGAGAATATCTCAAATGTTTACATGGACTGTTTATTATACTTATGTTGAGAAAAAAATAATTCAATGTAATATGAGAAAGATTGATTTCGTAATGCTCTCACTCTCGTATACTTCTGTACATGGATAGACTATGTAAAGTAACAACGTGTATATCTTGTACGGCATTTGTTTTCGTGACACTCTGTCAAAGGTTTAATAGCAAATTTTTTCTTCTAGTTTGTGCTTGTAAGCCATTTGAAAGCTTTTAATCTCTAGCTTGAACATGATTGTATTCGTTTGTCAGATGTGAAGGTAGAAGCAAAAGACTAGCAATAACTAAACGCTCTGCCTCTATAAGCTTGAATTATTTTCTGTATGTTGCCCATTCAGTAAATACTAATCCGATTATAAGTTTTAAACGTATAATGTTTTTTATACTTCCCAAACATCATGGTAATAATCATCCTAATGAATCAACCATTCGACATAATTATAACTTTCTTCAAATGATATGCCGTTTACAAGTCCCAAGCAACCTTTAAAGAAAATCCGACGCAATATAATTCATGTTCAGGTGTCTCTCTGACTTTACACGGTCATAAAACATATTTTTAACATTCGACTCGAGAGACCGTTTGATGGCCTCTGTGTCATACCCAATTCTCTAAACGGAAGATATAAAGGACACTCGGCGATTCAATAATTCTCTTACGTCAAACAAGTCGTATTTGCACGTATTCATTGGTTGATATTTGTCGTAAATTATGCTCGAAAATGTTCTTGTTTTTTTAATTTTTTTTTTATGAAGCTGTCACGCGACTACATTATTTCTCGCTCGAGACAAACTTGTTAGGATTGAATAGGTATGACGAATGACGAATTTTATATTGAAGAAGAGAATTAGGGAGACGGCAGTGGCGGATCAAGGATTTTCCAATAGAGGGGGGGGGGGGGGTAGTGAGCACTAAAACTCGTTTTTCTTTCTTTCTTTACTCAACCCCCTCTTCCCCTTTTAGCAAAACAAAAAGAAAAAGGAAAATTTGTGGTTACCATCTTTTTTTAAACTTTTCTTTTTTGATCCACGCCTAGAAGACGGAGGCAATTAAAGGAAGAGAGTGTCAAAAGCCTGAAGCCGCTCGAACAGTTAACAAAAGTTGCTAATATTGTGGCAACCACGCCACCTCGTATAATCGGGCAACAAGGTAGTCTTTTTTAAAATTAATGCATAATGTAATATTTTTTTTGCTCGATCGCCTTGCTCGCTCACAACATTATAAACTGGAAAGTCGTTGATATCCGGGGAAGAAACGTTAACCCCCTCACTTTCCCTGACGAAATTGGGCCTAAGATACAAAACATATCTGCGTCTTTCTGGTATTAAACAAATTAAAAACTCTCATTTTATCAAATTTGGGGAAAAGTTTAAAGTTTTTAATTTACAGAATGTGAAAGATTATCAGATTATCATTA